ACAAATTTAATGAGTGAAGCATCATGGCCCCAGCGAATTAGCAAAGTTGTTTATGTTGTGGATAGGAGGGACCAAGGGAGCGCGCAAAAAAAAAAAAAAAGGTACACTATCATTAAACCTAGCCCCTTTTTTTGGGACCTTGCAATAATTAAACCAACCTCAAACCAGAAGAGGACACCGCGGGGTCCAGACCCCAGCGGCAAAAATTAATCTAACAGTTCATATATTGGCAACACAAGGTTATTCTGAAAATTTTTTTTTGGTATAAATTTATTATGAAAGTTTAAAATTATAGTTATTATCTATTATTATTAAAAAAAATAATATTGACCGTCAGAATAATAATATTTATCTTTAATATTTTTAATGATAGAAAATAGTATTACTTTTAGATAGTCCTGAGTCAAAATTTTGAAAATAAATTTACATTTTAACTCTTAGCTCCTATTCCCGCCGTCTAATTATCAAAAGGTGACCGAGGTTCAGCGTACTGCGTTGATTATTTTCCAACATAACATCAAATTATCAAAAGCTGGACCTTTCATAATAATCAATCAATTATAAGAGTCAAAATCATAATTTTTTAAAAACATTCAAATAATCACACACACGCACTCACAAAAATCAGCTACTAAATCAAAATCAAAACCGCCCGTACCTTATGCTTTCAAAACTTAATTTTTTAAAAAATAAAAAAGAGCTGTTGGAAACATAAATAATTATGAGTCCTAAAAAATTAAAAAATATATTTAAAATAATAAAAATGAATATCGAACATATTGAAAAATTAGCGCTGAAAATTGATTTAAGAAAATTTTTAATTCTAATCAAGATAAAGGAAACCGTTGGCCTAAGAGAGACAAAAGAAGAGCATTTTTTTTCCGTTAAACAGATCACCACAATGTCAAATGTAAAAGCAAAACGAAAGATAGTCAGCCCACTCAATATTTAAAATAAAATGTGTTTAATTTTAAGATAAAGTTAAATCAAAACAACCCATCATTACTGATTTTTGGAAGGTGATACCTCTCCCTCCCTGCCATTGAGAATAAACATTGTACATTCGAAATTTAGTTACATTTATTAAAATTAAAAATGATTAAAAATACAAAGTAAAATAACATCAAATCTTGAGAGTCTAGTTTTAGTATTGTTGGAAATATGCTAGAATTAATTAATACTATGTTTTATTAGTCATTTATTATGTTTAATTTTATTCAGCATGTAGTCAAAGTTAGTATATTATCTAAGATTATATTTGAATATTATATTATAATATTTTAGAAGAATAAATATGTGGTATTAGGATTAGATTGGATTATATAAGATTCTCAGGTTAATTTATTAGCTTGTGGTTTGTCTATATATAAAGACTTATTTGTACCCTTTTTATTCAAGAATTAATGATATTCTGAGGCTCCTATTTATCTCATCTTTCAATCCTTCAAATTCCAACCCAGAGAAAGGGACGTGCTCACTCTTTTCCTTCTACGATCCCCCAACGTCAAAGGGAAAGGCTATGCTCTAAACATGGTTGCCTCCTTCATTGTCTCTAGTTCGCAAGTGCAGCTCTTTCTCTACAATTTAAATTTATAATTTTTTTTAATTATCCACATTGAATATATAATATATTAATGGACAAAATTTTAAAAGGATTGAAACAAGAGTATCATGTCCTGAAAGGACAGGATTCATGGAGAAGAAAAGGCCGAAGGGTGAAATCATTCTAGTCCAAACCCATTTATCAAATCTGGTAACCGTCTGCTTAGTTAGAGGAGGGAGAAGATTGTGTAGGTCCTTCCTAACCTCCATTTCTCTCCCTAACTTTTCTCTAAAAATTTCACCATGGATCCTAAACACAGCAACTGCCTTCACCACATTTTGGCGACACTATACAAAATCGAGAGAGGAATATTTCATTCAAGGAAAGCTGTGGCAGAAGAGGTTTAAGTTGTTGCGGGAGAAGAAGCTATAAATATACTCACTGACCTCATTATTGTGAGGGTAGAGTCAATTGAAAGACTACTTGATCAAATCCACCTATTGGAGAGGTTATTCACTTAACTTTGCCCCCTTGCGTCGACTTTCTTTGTGTTGACCCTATATTACAGGCTTCTGTGGTTCACATAGCCAAATAAAGTTCATTTGGGAATGTTATTCAAAGAGGGATAAGTTTTCCTTAGTAGGTGTTTAGCAGAGTTAGGCCGTAATGAAAAGCAACTGAGATCATTGTATTCTTATTTTGGAAAACTCCAAGATAACCCAACACTGTTGTTTCCTTTAGATTCATCTGATCAGGTGATTCAGGAGTATAACGAGAAGAGCCAAGCGATATTAACAAATGGCCCGGAGTCTCTCAATGCTTATCTCGGCAAACTAAATAATGGCAAAGTATACTCATTTGGTACCTTTCTGCTGTAAATATCAAACGTTGGTATTCTGTGATACAGCAGCAAGAAAAATTCTTTAAAAGGATTTCAAGAATCATGAACCAAACAGATACCTACACAAGAAGTCTATATTATGTTACTTAAGTATTTGTTTACAATTTGGGGCTAGTATATAATGAGTCAACATGTCGAGTTGGAAATCTATCATCCAAGTAGGATGATTTGGACAGAAATCTCCCTTTGTGTGCTTACTAGTTGCTGTTTATCTGATGTGTAGGTGCAAGCCAAGGGTCTTCTGTTCCATCTACTTCCATTGAGCTTCATAATGAAGAAGACATCAGGGAAAAACCTAAAAGAGACTATGTAACACCTATCCCTTATATACTAGTAGAATTATTCTATTTAATCATGATCCATTAAAAGCCAGGTTTCATCCTGGGAATTATATATATATATAGTTTTTATTTCCATTCGGCCTTTCAAATCCTGAATTAAGTCAACTATAGCCAATAGGGTTCAACATTTGCCACCCTGGCCATTGGCTCACACGACGAGATACATAATTAAATACACATAAATTTTAGGCCAAATAATAATTATATCAAAAAAAAATTTGACTATTTCCCTCAATAGCAGTCATTATGATCTATCTGCCCTTAGTCATCTCCTTATGGAGGAATATTTACATACCAAAATAGATATACAATATACATCTTTACTCCAAAATAAGATGCATTTTAGCAAAATATATATGCACAAAAGATCGCCAGCTTCCTGCGCCTTTAAACTCCACCGATCACTACTCCCTTGCCCTTAGGAGTACTTGCTCTTGCTGTATTACATGGAAGAAGGGGTGAGATTCTAAAGAATCCCAGTAGTAACAAATTTCCCTCACGTAATCATACAAGATCACAAACAACATGCTACACAGGCCAAAGAGAACAACACCTTGCATCCAAGTATAATCAATGATGCATATACACCATACACCCATATAGCTAATCGCTATCTATCGCGCCCACATTCCAAAATAAATGGAAACCAGCGCATATTGTCATGACAAATATTATTATGCAAAGGCAACTTACATGTTCTCATGCACAATCAGCATAAAGGCACATCCAAGCATGTGGCAATCAATGCACAATCACATTAAAGGAAAAGAGTTACTACCTTTTGCTTTTTCTTCTATACTCCCTTCCCCTTGTCTCCTTCTTGGCTCCTTTCTTAATGGATTCGAACAAATATCAAATCCTATAAATTATTTGAGTAAGGGCAGATTATATATATATATATATATATATATATATATCTCTCTAGATATTCATCTAGAGCGTTACATTAACACATTAACTCATTCCTTATAATTTAAATCCTTCATGATCATTTTAACGGGGCATCACGTTTTGACTTCCATCCTTTTAAGACTCCTATTTGACATACATATTCATAATATAACACTTATATAAGCCTATAAACTCGCTATTTAAACATTTTGCATTTGAACACCCCAAACACCATCTATAATTCAAACAGCACCATTTTGCCACTGTTTCTAAATTTTTTTCAGCATCAAGCTTCAACCAAAACATTATTTTTATTCCTCATTATATATATATATATATATATATATATTCACCCTCTACACCCTTCCTTCAAAAATTCCAGATTGCCCTATCAATCAGGTATATGTAATTAATACCATGAGATTTAGTTTTATCCCTCAAATCATAACATCAACGTTGCTGAGACAAACATCAAACATATACACACATATCATGCTTTAATTAGTTCCCAATCTCAACATTTTCCTTCGCTTATGAAAATTCTAGATTTTGGCATTTCTTTTCCATTTTAACTCCAACAAAATCTGTTCACTATAATTCAGAACATGGAGCCAAAACCGAAAGAATATATATAAAGAGCCCAACTCGTTCTCCCCATGCTTCGGTCTCAAATGGCTTTGTTCTCTCTCTCTCTCTCTCTCTCTATATATATATATATAGAGCTGATACTTTCAGCGTTCAAGTGCTTCTTGACCAGTAAATCGAACAGCATCCTTCCCTCCTTAAGTCTGACATTTTTCTTATTCAGAGCACACTCCCTCCGCCCTCAATAACTACATAGAGCATATAAAATCAACATATTATAGTCATACAACCAGAAAATAATCAGTTATATTTAGTCTCGTTAATCATCTATTACCCAAACCAGAAGTCATTTCCGTAAATCCTCAAACCCCTGTTTCATAAACTATAACCAGAGCAATCAATCGAAAAAAACAAGTGTAGAAATCCCAACCACAAGCTTCATCCTAACCAGTAAGTGCGATTTCTATAGCTTGGCTCTCACCCTCCTTATTTTCTCCCTCAAAACCAGATTTCATCATCATCACCACCTTGCAACACATGACTAAATAATCGAAAACAAAGATGGAAGAAGATTCAAGAGACTCACCTTGCTTGATTTCCACCTTGATACAAATCGATTCCCTCCTCTTCTTGCCTTTGCTCTTCTTGCTCTCTCTCGAAGTCTCTCAACTCTTTCTCTCTGTTTTCCCTTCGAATGGCAGAGCAAAATGAGAAGGGAGGAGGTGTTAGGGCGTATTAGATGGATGTGGGATGTGAAATGTCCATTTTGCCCTTTGGTCCTCATTTTGCTTTCAATTTGGTCCTTCTCTACATTTTTTTTTTGGAATAATCAAATAACTCCAGAAATCACACATGGATATCTATATGAATTTTCTTCTTCCATTAGCTTCTTTAGTATATAAAATAATTATCCTAAAAATCTCACCTCAAAAATTAGCCTCTAACTATTTTTCTTGAATATTCCAAGAAAATAGTTCTTAAATTCTTGAAATTAACTTTATAATTATTCAGGCCATATTTTAAGGGTCTTAATCTCAACAATTTCTCTAAAAATTTCTCCTTCATCATGCTTTATTCAAATCCATAAAATTTGGGATATTACAGACTACACTGGGAGACAGAAGACTTATGTGAATATAAGAAGAACAAAAGGTGAATGTGATGGAAGGTCATACAGAGACACAATACAGCAAGATGAAGCTTCCAATCTTTACTTGATGTAAGCCTTCAGTGTTAATTGGTGTTTCCACTTGTTCAAAGACTAGCTTTTGAATAAATAGCCTCTCACGCTTTTTGGGTGGCGTTATATTTGGTGCAGTGGTTTACTGGCTTCAATAAACATCGCTGTGTTCCTCTTTGAAATAGCAAGTCCTATAAGGAACTCTGACTTGGAGCTGTTTTCTATTCCACTTCTATATGGTGCGAAAATAAATCATTTGATCGTCGTCAGAGAATGGTGGAGGCTGCTGACGACTATGTTTCTGGTACGAGATTGAGAATTGGGTCCATGTTTCCATTCTGTGGTTATAGAGCATCATTTATATGAAGCTCACTATTATCTCTGAAAACTGTACAAGTAACCTAATCTTAGACCTAATATTGGTGCCTAATGAGCAATGAAGTTAAGCTCAAATCCCTGGATTATTAACCTTTGAGGTCTAACATCCTTGGACCAAACTGTCTTATAACATAATCAACTAATTTGGTCTGCTTTCTATTTTATCATATACCTTATTTGTTTTCATTCTACACTGCATTGAGTTTTGGTGATTGATTTCGTTTCAAATTTCTTGTCCACAGCTTCATAAACTTCATGAAACATACTGTCAAGGTTTCCGGTGATCACTAAATTCCCATGAAAAATTGCAGACAGTAAAAGAAGGTATAGTCTATTATATGAACAAACCTTATAGTAACTCTAAAATGAGCAGTACTATATTTTAGAGTAGTTTAGGAGATATGTATACTGATTTCTAGATCAATTTCTTTGAGACAAAATTCATAAATTATGATACCTTCTCAATCTATCGTACTTTTCATATGTGCAACACTCTAGCATTTTCCATATGGCTCTCAGTTGTTGGGCACTTGTATCATTTGGCCCTCATGTCTGCAGAGGCTATGGTTCATTCACTTTTATCTTGATTTACATACTGGGGGGAGTTTCCGGCAACCTGACTAGTTTTCTGCATACACCAGATCGTACTGTTGGTGGGACAGTAAGCTCTTGACTTCTATACTTTTGTTTCTTTATGATGCTTCAATAATTTCATCATCAATTTTTAGATCACAGTTGTTGTTGAGATATCTATGTAGATTTCTGCGGTCGCTTTGTTTGATTATTAGGGTTCATGAGTTCTGGGATCTCTTCCCACCTGTTCATTCTACAATTAAACTGAGATTGAACTAGCCTCCTATAAATCATTCCATCTGATCTTTATTTATTTTTCATTTGTATATTTGGAACATAAATGCAGGGACCTGTATTTGCCATAATTGGAGCTTGGCTCACATATCAAATCCAGAACAAGGATGTTGATGATAAGGATACTTCAGAAACCATGTTCCAGAAAGCAATAGTTTTCACAGCTGCTAGTTTCATATTAAGTCACTTTTGTCCAATTGATGACTGGTATGTCTCTAACATTGTTCACACAAATGAAAGTCAACAGTTACGGAAGAAACCTAACCTCAAATTCTCACACTCTGAAAAACGATAACCTTTATTCATTGTATAGGTCACACTTTGGATCAGCTATAACAGGAATGGCTTATGGGTTTTTCACAAGCCCAAGGTTTGAGTTGAAAGATGCGTCATCTTCTTCAGGAAGAGGTGGCCAAGAAGAAGGGCTCAAACTTGTGAGACAGTACGGTGATTCTTGCAGATCAGCTTTTGTATCCACCATCTTCGTCATTGCTCTGAGCTCCTTCCTCTTCTTCATGGAGCCTCCCCTTAATGCATTAGCCTCAGTGGATGAAGTGATAGAAGACTACCTGTTAATTTATATGAGTGAGAATTCTCTGTCCTAGATAATTTATCGCTTTTTGTGTCAAAGAAAGAAATAAGACAATAGAGATGCAGAATAGAAGTGAACTCTATACACCCCTTTTATATATGAGTGTGGAATCTTGATGAGAAAGAATCAATGGATGGATATAAATTATAAAGAAAAGAAGCGGGCCTAATGCTTACTTCTACCTGTTTACAGATACTGGTTCCATGGTGTATAGATATTGGGTGCTCATCTTAATTTAAACTATTAATAATGATGTTGGATGCTCCGTATTGAATGCAAAATTTTTTTGAATATTTTAATTAATTTTTATTTTAATAGATAAACAATTTGAAATAAGAATCTACAACTGCCACTTTTTCAAAAAAGTAAGTTTATCATGGAAAAAATTGCATATTAGAAATCTTAAACTTGAACTATTTATATCATATTTTGGATTATCTCGACTGTATTATGGTGATGAGCATTGAACAAGATTTAAATAGTTTAGTCCAAAATACAAGTTACTGGGAGAGTAATTATTGTCTGTTTATCAATTTTGTTAACACGATTAAACTTAAATGTAATTTTTTGTATTTTTATCCATCTTCCACGACCTCATTTAATACGAGTAAAATTAAAAAAATTAATTTAAAACAAATTTAATGAGTGAACTATCATAGCTCCAGTGAATTAGCAGCGTTAAGTTGTTGATGTTGTGGATGGGGGGACCAAGGGAGCACACAAAAAAAAGAAAAAGGTAGCCTATAATTAAACCTAGCCTTTTTTTTTTGGGACCTTGCAATAATTAGACCAACCTAAAACCGGAAGAGGATACTGATCCTCTTCCCTCGGCTCCAGATCCCAATAGCATAAATTAATCTAACAGCACAGAGCTTGTTTGAAGCTCCGTTCAAAATGAACTTTTAAATAAGTTCACATAAATCGAGATGAAACTCTCCTTATATATTTATTTTGTATTTCGTAAATCACATTTAAAAAACTATCTATAAGTCAATCCAAACAAGCCCTCATATTGCCAACACAAGTTTATCCTCAAAAAAAATTTTTGGTACAAATTTAATATGAAAATTTAAAATTATAGTAATATTATCTCTTATTATTAAAAAAATAATATTAATCATTAAAATAATAATATTTACTTTTAATATTTTTAATCTTTTAAAATGAGTTTGTACTCAGAAAACATCTTTAGATAGTCCTGAGTCAAAATTTTGAAAATAAATTTACATTTTAACTCTTAGCTTTTATTCCCGCCGTCTCATCTCCACGTGGACGACAAAAGCTGAGCCAGATTCAGCGTACTCCATTGATTATTTTCCAACATAACATCAACAGTTGGACTTTTCAAAATAAATCAATCAATTATGAGAGTCAGGTCAAAAATCAATTATAAGAGTCAAAATCATAATTTTTAAAAATATTCAAATAATCTCAAAATCAAACACTCCCGTACCTTATGCTTTCAAAACTTAATTTTTTAAAAAATAAAATAAAAAAAGAGCTGTCGGAAACATAAATAATTATGAGTCCTAAAAAAATAAAAAATATATTTAAAATAATAAAAATGAATATCGAACATATTGAAAAATTAATTTAAGAAAAATTTTAATTCTAATCAAGATAAAGAAAATCGTTGGCCTAAGAGAGACAAAAGAATGGCACTTTTTTCCGCTAGAACAGATCACCACAATTTCAAATGTAAACAGCAAAACAAAACATAGTCAGCCCCCTCAATATTTAAGATAAAATGTGTTTAATTTTAAGATAAAGTTAAATCAAAACAACACATCATCACTCATTTTTGGAAGGTGATGCCTCTCCCTCCCTTCCATTGAGAATAAACATTGTACATTCGAAATTTAGTTACATTTATTAAAATTAAAAGTGATTAAAAATACAAAGTAAAATAACATCAAATCTTGACAGTCTAGTTTTAGTATTATTGGAAATATGCTAGAATTAATTAATTAATATGATGTTTTATTAGTCATTTATTATGTTTAATTTTATTCATCATTTAGTCAAAGTTAGGATATTATTTAGGATTATATTTGAATATTATATTATAATATTTTAGAAGAATTAATCTGAAGTATTAAGATTAGAATTATATAAGATTCTAAGGTTAATTTATTAGCTTGTGGTTTGCCTATAAAAAGCCTTATTTGTACCTTTTTTATTCAAGAATTAATGATATTCTGAGGCTCCTTTTTATCAATTTCGACATGATATCAAAGTCAAGTTCTTCCACAAGTCATGACAAAACAAAAACAGGAGACGTGCTTGCTTAAAAAAGGGACGTGCTCACTCTTTTCCTTCTAGGATCCCCCCATGTCAAAGGGAGAGGGTCTGTTTTAAACACGGTTGCCTCCTTCATTGTCTCTAGTCCGCAAGTGCGGCTCTTCATTTGCAATTTAAATTTATAATTTTTTTAAATTATTCATATTGAATATATAATATATTAATAGACAAAATTTTAAAAGGATTGAAGCAAGAGTATCCTACATATGCCTGACAAGGATAGGCTTCTCGAAGAAGAAAAGGCCAAAGGGTGAAATCATTCTAGTCCAAACCCATTTATCAAATCTGGTAATCATCTGGTAATCATCTGCTTGAAGATATGTTGTACTTACATATCATAGTTATATTTACTCAAATTTAGGTCTTCTTAGAAATTAAATTTTTAAACAGGATTTTTTACCAAATTTTTTTTATATGACACTTTCCTATTAAAAATCTTTTCTGTTGTCACTTTCCTATTAAAAGTACTCTGTCTGGCGTTGTTTTGTTTTCCATTCTCCTAGACCACAAAGCGTAACCATGTCCCTTACGTTGTGATGCTTACACAGACTTCACTCGGTCACAACTGACGACGCTGCCCCCGCTTTGACCACACACAACGTCGTTCACGGGTCAGACACCGCATCACAACAACGCGTCTTTTCTTTTTTGAATGAAATCAACATCCTTCTATAAATAATTTTCGAATAAAAAAATTAGTTAAAAATAATAAATTAAAATTAAAATTTTTTTTCTTTAAAATACTCTTATTTAATAGAAAGAATATAAAAAATAAAAAATGTTAAAAATAATTATGTAAGAGAGATAATGTGTAATAGAGAGAGATGATTGTTTGAGAAATAAGATAATAAATATATTGATTATTAAAATAGGTAATTAATAGAGAAAAAAGAAAATTCACTATAAAAATTTAAGAGAACTTATAATGTTTCTTATATTTATGGCTAAAAAAAGAATAATAGTTGTTACTTATAAAAAGTGATGGATAGGATATTAATTTGCTTGTAGTTAGTAAAGTAATTAAATTAGTTATGTATAATTAATATTTTGATTTTTTAAAATTATTTTTTAATCACATGTATTGAAATAAATAATTAATTTAAAACTCTCTTAATGCACATAATTAATATGATTGTTTTAGAAAAAATATTATAAATTTAAAAAATAAAATAGATTACAATATTATATTTAGAATTAAAGTCAACCCTTCATCATCTGCTTTGTATCTATGGTTAGAGGTAGTGTAAAAAATTATTATCTTGGTTCTTTAATATAACATACACTTTGATATACAAATTCCACTGCATAGTAAAAATTTTTTTTAATCAACAAGGATAATGACTATTTTATGGAAATCACCAACACAAAGTTGTTGTAAATTACAAATTTTAACAATTTTCTTAATATTTATAAATTACTCACATACAACAATTTGCTGCCTCACCTTTTTCTTTTTTCAATGTAAATAAATTTGACTAATCACCCATCAGGCTATTATTGCCACTAGGGGTGTTCAATTTGTCCCGTCCCAGTCCCAGTGAGTTCAAGACGGGACGGGACGGGACAAAAAAAATTTCGAGACGGGACGGGACAGGACGCAGGACGGGGTCGTCCCGTCCCGGGATTTTTTTTCTTTTAAAAATTATTTATTAATAATTATTATTAGATTATTCAATTTACTTATTAATAATAACTCTTATTTTTATGGTGATTTGTAGCTCTTAAGTTGTAGTATTATCTCAACAAAATCTCCTTCCTCAATAAAATAATTCATAAAGTCATTATATAGTGTTTTTTTTTACGATATTTTTTACAGTATTATTTTTACACCTTTTTTATGCTATATAATTAAGCTTTCTACATAATATTTTTTTATAATGTTTTTATCTTTAAAAGCCCAATAAAAAATAAGTATTATAACATAAAAAAATTCATATAAAAAATTATGGTATCTTTTTTTTTAAAAAAAAAAGAGGGAAGCGGGACATCCCGGTCCCGACGGGACCGGGACAGGATCGGGACGGGATGGGACACGGGACAAAATCCCTGTCCCGTCCCGTCCCATGAACACCCCTAATTACCACACACATTCACGGAGGCAATTTTTTTATTCTTTTAGTTGAGAATTTTCTTACCCTTTTGATAGAATACCTTCAGACATTTTTTAAGTTGGGGATACTTATTTAGAAGAATTATAATGAGATTTTTAAGAAAATAATTACAAAATAAATATCAGAAATTATTATTTTTTATTTTAAGATTTATCATTATAAGCTACTTAAGTTGTTATTGAAATTTTTTAGTACTGATTTTTTTCTTTGAGAAATCATTATAATTCTCCCTACTTGTTCAAATATTTCCCCTCATTTTGTTTCTTTTTTTTCGTCAGTTGGTTTTTTATTTAATTTTTTATTAATTAATATAAATTAAACATGCATTTTTACTACATTATTATCATCTAAATTTATTTAAAGTTTATTTTTAAAATAATAACTTTAATTTTTGAATGCATATATTACTATATAAGTATATAACATTATTTTTATTTAATTATTACATTACCGGTTGTGTGAACCGTGACTCGTTAGTCTTTCTGGTTCAATATCCGGTCCGGCTTTTAAAACATTGCTTCCACTAATTACTAATGGCAATGGGAGCCACCGGCAAAAGCAGAAGAGGATCAAGGGCCGTCATATCCCTAAGAACATCGGAGCCGGAGGAAAGTTGGTTTTTCACATTAAGCCACTTTTGTCCAGTTGAAGACTGCCATGCCCCTCACACTGCCCATATGTAAACGGAAGTCAAGATTGAAGGATGCATCATCTTCTTCACGAAGATGTGGTCAAGAAGAAGGG